TCTGGCCTCGGTGTACCCCATTCTTCTTGATAAGCAGTCCCAAGTCCAGCACTAGTAGCAGTCAGCCTTAGTTTGAAGCTTTGGCCTCTCATGGGCACCTCCAAGCCCAGCAAAAGTAGCAGTCATCTGAAGAGTGCTATGTATCTCATGTCAGGTGGCCTTAGGCAGGGCACAGGTGGCAACCAGTCTTGGCTTGCACCACTTGGGAGGCCTCAGAGCCAGGACATCTGGTGGACAGCTTCAGACTACACTGGAGCATCAACCAACCAGCCCCTTGAATGACACGGTTAAGGGGCAGTCACTTAAGGTACCCAAGCCCTGCTGAAGCAAATCCTGATTTGAGGGGTTAGCTTCTACACAGCATCTCCTCTGTTGTAGTCACGGCCAGTCTTTGCATCCAATTGACCTGGGTATAAGTCCCTCCCACTGAAGTGCCAACAACAGTCGAGGCTCAGTTACAACAGGAGGGTGTATGGAGCCCACAAAGGGGCACACCTGGAGAGTCCCACCTACTCTACAAGGCTATATATTATGTAGAGTTGCTATGTCTCCCAGTCTTCAAACCAAGACTGGGAGACAGAGCTGTACATAATACATAACCACAAACACAGGGAGGCAGTCAAAATGAGCAGACAAAAAACATCTGAAATGAAAGAAAACAGAACTCCAAAAAATATACATAATAAAGAAAAGCATTCCACCAGATGACAGCTCAGAACACTGTTTATGCCCTGGCCAGGTGACACAGTTAACTGAGCATCATCCCATACACCAAAAGGTTGCAGGTTTGATCCCCAGTCATAGCACACACCTAGGTTTCAGGTTTGATCTCTGGTGAGGGTGCATATGGGAAGCAACCAGTCAATGTTTCTCTCTCACACTGATGTTTCTCTCACTCCCTTCTCTCTCTAAAAATCAATAAAAACATATCCTCAGGTGAGGATTAATAAAAGACACTGGTTATAAGGATGCTCAGTAAACTTTGGTGAAGAGTAGATGACCTCAGTGAGAGCTTTCACAATGAGATAGGAACCGTAAAGAACGAGTCAGAAATGAAGAATACACTAACTAAAATGAAACATGCTTACAAGGAATCAACAGTAGTGTAAATGTAGCAGAGGATCAAATCAGTAATTTGGAAGATAAGAAAGCAGAAAACATCTAATCAGGACAGCAAAAATAAATAAATAAATAAATAAATAAATAAATAAATTAAATAAATAAATCCAAAAACATGACGCTAGTTTAAGGAGCCTCTGGGACAACTTCAAGTGTACCAACATTCTTGAAGTGTACCACCATGGGATTCTTGGAAGGAAAGAAAAGAGAGCAAAGAATTGAGAATATATTTGAAAAAATAAAGACAGCTTCCTTAACCTGGTGAAGAAATAGACATAAAGTCCAGAGAATTCCAAATAAGATGGACCTAAGAAGCCCACACCAAAATACGTCACAATTAAAATGCCAAAGATTAAAGACAGAGACAATCTTTAAAGCAGCAAGAGAAAAGTAGTTAGTTTCCTCGAAGGGAGCTCCCATAAGACTGTTCCTGATTTGTGTACAGAAATTTTGCAGGCCAGAAAGGATAAGCACAAAATGTTCACAGTAATAAAAAGCAAGGACCTATGATCAAGCTTATTCTACCCAGCAATGCTGTCATTTAGAACTGAAGGGCAGATAAAGAGCTTCCCAGACAATAAAAAGCTAAAGGAGTTCACCACCAAACCAATATTACAAGAAATGCTAAAGTGTCTATGTTAAGAAAAAGAAAAAAAATATTAATAGTAAAATGGCAATAAATACACATCTATCAACAATTACTTTAAATGCAAATGGATTAAATGCTGCCATCAAAAGATACATGGTTATATGGTGGTTGAATGGATAACAGAACCCTTATTTGTGCTGTCTCCGAGAGACTCACTTCAGATCGAAAAACATACACGGACTGAAGGTAAAGGGATGGAAAAAGATATTTCATGAAAATGGGACAACAGAAAAAACAGGTAGCAATTCTTATACCAGACAAAATAGACTTGAAAACAAAGGCTATAACAAGAGACAATGGAGAACTCAACTAGTCCACATCTGTGGACTAGAAATTTATCTGATAGAAAAGACATACGCATTTATATGTTCATTACAGTTTTATTTACAATAGCCAAGATATGGAAGCAACCTATGTGTCCATCAATGAATGAATGGAAAAAGAAGTGGTTCATGCATACAATAAAATATGAGTCAGCCATTAAAGAAAGAATGAAATCTTGCCACCTGCAACAACATGAATGGTCCTAGAGAGTATTGTACTGAGTGAAATAAGACAGAGAAAGACAAATGCCATATGATTTCACTTATATTTGGAATCTAAAAAGCAAAGACACAAACAAAAATTGAAGAAGCATACCAGAAACAGATTCATAGATATAGAGAACATTTGATAGTTACCAGATGGGAGAGGATTTGCGAGGAATGAATGGAAAAGGTGAAGGAATTTAGAAGTATAAATTGGCACTTACAGCATAGTCATGGGGAAAGAGTACAGCATAGGGAATATAGTCAACAATATTGTAATAACTATGTATGGTGTCAAATGGGTACTAGGTTTATTGGGATGATCACTGTTATATAAATGTCTAATCCCTGCATTGTATACCTTAAACTAATGTAGTATTGTATGTCAACTGTAATTGAAAAATTTTTTAAATTATTTTTTTAAAAAGTTCTTCTGTCAGTTTATTTTTATCTTATCAAAAATTAGCATTTACACATATGTGTAGTTTTATGCCACTCACTAAAGATGAGTCTTGTCTACAAAAGTGTTGGAACTCCAGTTAAGAGAGGGAATAACTTCACATAAGAGATTGGACCAGTGGTGATTTAAAACTATTATTTAGTTTGTCTTCTAGTTGCTTTTGGGGTTTTTTCCGTCTATTTTTATTTTTGATGTTTTTGCAGTTACCTCCTCAAAACAGCCTGGGAGAGTGGCACAAGTTCACAGCTTCATTCTTCTTTTCCCTTTTTAAACTTCCATGTTCCTGTCTGAGAAGTGGATGAATAATTTGATGAGTAAATAGTGCAGGTCCACAGAGATTCCTGAACAGGTTTGTTACCATTTTCCTCTTACATGAAATCTGAGACCATGAACCCAATTGTTCATTCTCGGGATGGATAGTGGCTTTTTTGCAACTGATCACAGAGTTTTAAATAAGATTCAGGTGAGGCATTTCGCTTTCTGAGATTGCAGTGAAATATCACTATGAAGATTCTACTCAATGTTAACTTTTTAATTTCATCTGTTGTTTTCTTGAGTAAGAATGTGACCATGCGCATTTTCCATTTGGCGGTTGATATGAACAGATTTTAAACCCCCATACAGTTTTTGTGCTGATGCGCACCTCCCTCTCCCCTGGGGGTAATGGTGAGTGAGCACCATAGACCACTTTAAAATTTACATCTTTATAATTGTGATTATACTTTACTAGGAAGAGATGTTGCTTGATTTTTCATGTTTGTTTGCTTACCATATTTCCTATTTTCAGAATTGTCCCTAGGTTCTGTGCCAATATAATAGGCTGAACTACATCCAGTTACCATTTCTGTGGGTCAGAATGGTCAAATAATGGCAGTTTTATATGGTTCATCCTAGTATCTTTAGGAGCTTAATGTTTTTGATGTTTTCATATTCTTCTGGTTATATTGTGCTCTCCTTGTTATAATAAGTTTTAAGAAATATAAAAATATAAAATAGCACAAAGTTATCTCTTACTATTTTGGTGATTTTTTTCTTTTATCCTTTTTGAATCATGTATTATTCTCAGAAAGTTGCAGAGTTTTTTTGATAAAACTGTTAAATGAATTATTATGAGTATAGTGACAGTTAAGTTTATTGGCTGTTATTATTATAAACAGAAGTTATCCTGTCTTGATATTTTATGAACTATGCTTCCTATGCTGTTAAACATTCTTTAGAAATTTGATGTTTAAGACAAGTTCTTATTCTGCCATATAAATACTATAATTTAGCAAACTATTCTTATAGGAATTATGAAACTCTTTTATGTAAAAAAATTGAAATATTTTAAAATTTCTTGATATATAGACAAAATACCCTCCCTAAACATGTATTAATTGTCACTTCCTCCAGGAATGTGTGAGATTCCCCTACTCTGTGAGCCTCAGAAGTGAAAGTTTTTATTCTTGATAATTTGACAGTCACAAATAGTGTGTTTTACTTTGAACATTTTTAGATGGTTATTAACTGTATACTTTTCTTCTGTTATGATTTATTTATTAAAATCCTGTATTTTTCTTGGAGTTTCCATTTTTCTTATAGTTGTAAGAAAAAAACCATACTTGTATATATATATAGAGAGAGAGAAAATTAGAATGTGTATTTGCCAAAATATCAATAATGATTTTTTAAAAAGATTTTATTTATTTATTCTCAGAGAAAGGAGAAGGGAGGGAGAAAGAGAGAGAGAGAGAAACATCGATGTGTGGTTGCCTCTCATGTGCCCCCAACTGGGCCCACAACCCAGGCATTTGCCCTGACTGGGAATCAAACCAGCAACCCTTTGGTTCACAGGCCGGCACGCAATCCACTTAGCCACACCAGCCAACAGCGCTCAATAATGATTTTTTAGGTGATGGAATTTTGGGTGATTTTGTTCTTTTCATACTTACCTTTTTCCCTGATTATTTGGAGTTTGGTTTTTTGTTTTGTTTTTGTTTTTGTTTTGTTTTTTGTTTTTGCAGGACAAAAATTCCTGGTTCTTGTGAAGGTGGACTAGCTCTCTAATAACATGTTTTAGGCCTCTTCTACAAAGGTGGAGTGGATTCCTCCCAGTCCCATTTAAACCTGAGAGGGCTGTCCATGTCCTTTGCTTACCTATCCAGCTTCTACCCTGTGCCTGGGCCACACTGCCTTGGATCATAATGTGTGAGGTGTGATAATAATAGTGTACCATTGTTTTTGGTTATTTCCTTTGCATGTTCAGCCTGCTATGGGATGGACAAAGAAGAAGAGAACCACTATGTTTCACAGCTCAGGGAAATCTACAGCAGCTGTGACACCACAGGAACAGGCTTTCTGGACCGGGAAGAGCTGACCCAACTCTGTCTTAAGCTTCATCTGGAAAAGCAGCTTCCCATTCTTCTGCAAACACTTCTCGGAAATGATAACTTTGCCAGGGTGAGTATTTGACTTATTATCTTAAGGAAAAGCACAGAGTACTTTATTGGTTATTATTGGCATTTGATAAATATCAGTTGGATAAAGATATGCATCAAAGAAAAATTATTGGGAAATGAAATGGTATTTTTCCTTTTGTGAAACTCCTGCATTATAGAAAGAATTTTCTTAAGATGACTTTTTAAATGGAGTAACCTTTAGAGGTTTGGTTTTGTTTTTGCAGAAAGATGTTTGAGTGATTTGTCAGCAGGTATAGGGGGTCATGGTATGAGTGAGTAGCATGTGATTCACAAAACACAGGGCTGGCTCTGTGAGCTCACACGCTGGTAAGTCATTCAGAGACTGACAGTTTCAGAGTAACTCATGGGAAGATTGTATTGTATTAGAGTACGCAGCTTGAAATTTATCTTGTAGGTGGACAAAATTTCAAACTACTGTTAAGAAACAAAGAATGCCTGTGTTCAGAGGTGTCCTGTGATTTCATGTAGGTAAGATAGGAAATGAACTCAGAGAGTTCTTTTCTCTGAGGAAATTCAAGGTCATTTAAATGGTGGTCTAGAACCTAGATAAAAACTTTCCTGAAAGAAACATTAATAAGAACCTCCCACCTTGTTCCTACTTCTGGAATGTATCCAGATGTTAAAATGTTAGTGCTACAAACAGGGCTTGTTATCTTGTTATCTCAACTTTGAAGGAAGAGCTATCTTTTTCACAGAACTCAGTTAAACTGTTGTCATTTTGAATGAGAAAAAAAATCTAGCTTGCAAATGTTCCTGAATTGGCGCTTGGGCAAAAACAAATGAAGAAAACCAATTTTTTAAAAAAGTCCTCAATGCTGGCATAGTGAGAGAATAAGGCAAATCTGACCTCTTGTAACTTCCCCAAAGAACCAACTGCCCTGTGTCACTAATACTTGTCATTAGGGTACTCTGACTCCTTGGTAGGGAATGCTGACTCAATTAAACTTACTGCACCCTTTCTCTCTTTATTCCGGTCCTGCTTTTTTTTTCTTTTGGACTTAAGAAGCCAAAATATTTTTTATAGGTAATGTTCCAGCCCCTTTTAATATCACCTGGAATTGTATTTGGAACCTAGATAAGAAAAAGGTACATTTATGAAAAAAATCAATACTCTAGTTATGTAAGCAGTATAAACAGATGGCCTGGTTTTCTTGATTATTTTTGACAGTTTGGAAAATTCAGAGCTAAAAGAATAACTTTTGGGCCCAGATTCAGATTGTACGTTCTGGTTATCGAGGAAACTGTATCATTTCTGAGCCTTTCCCCACTTTATGCTTTGTATGTGCAGAAGTGGTCTAAGATTTAAAAACATCAAATGTCACAGGAAAAAAAAAAGATCAGTATTGGAACATCAAAGAGAAGAATTAATTTGGATTGTTTGAGATTTCTGACTTCCCCCATGTCCCATGCATCCTGAAAGGCGGTTGCTCTGAGTTGTAATTCCTTCCCAGAGGCTTCAGGTTTCTCCTGATACATTAATGGGGAGGTATATTAGAAGGAGAGACAGACACTCACAACCAGTGACAGGAGCCTGATCTTTTCTGATTAACATTCACTTTTTGAACAGCAAATCTCTGTTCATATTCTTCAATCTCTCCTTCTGTCTGTCCCAATTTCATTCTGTCTTACAGCCATGATTATGTGTTCCCAAAAAGGAAGATAGGTTGGATAAATTAAGAAATCACTCTACTTCCTTTTAGTGCTCTTAAGTCTGACCTTAAGTTATCTATGGTGTTTCTCTTCCCTTCTTTTGTAAGCAATGAAGGAAGAGGACACAAAAACATATACAAGCACAGTCAAAATGGTATCAGATTAAATCACAATACACTTGGCTACTAGACCCCTCTATTGTTTGATGGTAGGAGAAAATCAGTCGATAAGTGTTAGCAAAGACACGAAAGAAATGAGATTAGATTATGCTAAATTGTCGTTTCATTCTGCTTCCATTCAACAAGTATTTCTGAGTGCTTGTTGTATGCTAGGCAACATCCAGAAGATAAGGATGTAAAAATGAAAGAAATATAATGTCTATATTCACGTGAAATATAATATATAGAAGATTACTCATTCTAACACTGATACACACAGCGAAAGACTGGAAACAGCCTTTTCAGTATGAGATTGGTTAAGTGAAGTTTATATAGCTCTCAAAAATGTTGAAGAGGCTTCAGACATTGTAATAGTGGCAAGTTCCCAAACTTAGGTCAACCTTCCAGTGAGGGCTACTAAAGAAGCTGAACAAAACGGTAAAAACAAAGATTTGAAACCAGTAAAGAGTAAATAAGCAAGTCAGCAAGAAATTACCAGCCTAAAAATCTATAATAAATCACATATCCTGAAAGATTAAGCTCTGCACACAAAACCCCATTTGCTCTGAGAATATTTTCTGGTATTAAGTAAGCAACTATTAAATTGATATGTGTTTTTTGAGGGCCTCAAAGTACCAGAGAAATATGTCAAAACCCACACTCACTCAAGGAAGAGAATCTAATAAAGGAGACTCAAATTTAAGGGAGGATCTTAAAGGGTAACACATTAGGGTAAAGATGAACTGTAAGTAAATAAGCCATTGTGCTTTTCTGCTATCTGGACTTGCATCCCCTTAGTGGTCAAGATTATCTCATTTCTTGCACTTAGATTAAGATTGTCCTGCATAGGTGGCGCCCTCAGGCATCTGGCAAAAGTAAAAAACAGCCCTCTTTTGAGACAGTACCATCATCCTAGATCTCTAATTACTTCCAAGTAATAGTTAAATATAATAATGAACATACAGTCCAGAGTAATTAGGTACACAGATAAGATAGGAAGAGTAAGAATCAGGAGATATAGCAGGCAGCAAGCACAAAGCTTTGATGGGTTGGAATTATTGGGCACTAAATATAAAACTACAGTTAATTACTATGTTAGGAGAGATTGAAAAACAAAAGCTTGAAGGATTGAACTCTAAACAGTGATTTAACATCTCTGAACAAAGAACTGCAAATAAAACTTTTACAACTGAAAAGCATAATAACCAAAATTAAAAACTAAACACAGAGTGGATCAGGATGGCGGAGGAGTGAGTAGAAGTCACACCTCCTCCCAGGACCACCCTGGAATTACAACTAAATTGTGGAGAAATCACCAGGAACAAACAACTGAACAATAGCAAGAGAGGACCATTGTAACGTCGGAGACAGAAGAATTGGCTTTAGCACAATCTAACTGGTAAGGAGTGCCATAGAGACTCGAGAAGGCAGGTGGAGTGCCCATGGGCAGCAGCACCAGAAGGATATTGAAATGGCCAGCTGGATCCCTCCAAGAAGAGCGAGGTCTAAACCAAAAGCAGGGATCTCTAGCCCACAGCACCAGAGCTCAAAAAGTACACAGAAAACAGCCAGCTGCAAAAAGCGGCAGGATTGCTCTCTGCCAGAGACAGGTGGCTGGAGATGCAAAGAACCATTTCAAGTCCCAATGCATAAATTTTTATTTGCAGCCACTTACCTTGATCTCTGGCAAAGGCAAGGCAGAGTGGGCTAGAGACACCTGAGGAGAGACTGGGGAAGGAGGCTTTGGGGAGAAAACTGGGAGAGTAGCCGGCGGGATCTTGATGCTGACTCATCCCCCATGCGTTAGCGGCCATCCTGTTCAGGCAGAGACCACTTCCCCTGAGCAGGAGCAGCGTCAGAGTATCCAATAGCTCCGCCCCAAAGTGGTATTCCACCCTGTCCTGTGCTAAGTTGCCTGATGAGTGCATCGTGGCAGCCACAGATAGTAGATCCCTGGCTAAAGGTGGCGCAGAGAGGTCTGGAGAAACTTGAGGAGAGACTGGGGACAGAGGCCTTGGGGAGATAATGGAGAGAGTAGCTGGCGGGTTCCCAGTACTGACTCCTCCCCCATACAGCAGCAGTGTGAGAGAACCCAATAACCCCACCCCAGGAGGGACTCCGCCCCACCCTGAGCTGTCTAAGGCAGCCTGCAGAGTGCAGAGTGACTAGAATAACAGCTGAAGGAGACAGCCACAAACAGTAGATTCCTGGAAGCCTCGAACAGACTGCCTAAGGTCAGACAGGGACAACATCTGACATCATCAGAGGCAAAAAGTAAAAACAGCGGTCTCCTACCATAGAAGCTCACACCACAAAGTCAGGAAATCAAGACAGATCAACTTAAGAAGCAGAAGCAAAAAAGAAGAGTCTCACAAATAATGGGAAGACAAATATGCACCACTTGAAGGGAAAGGAGGAGTCCCCAGAAAGAGAACTAAATGAAATAGAGGCAAGTAAACTATCAGATAATAAGTTCCAAACAATAGTTCTAAGGAAGCTCAATGAGCTCATTGAGCCCAGAGAGAATTACAAAAAACTACAGGGAAACTACAAGGAACTTACTGCAAACTATATCACCATGAAAAGGACATAGAAACTTTTATGTCCTTTTTCAATAAGAGAAAAGAGGAAATGAGGAATACAATTCCTGAATTGAAGAACACAGTAGAAGGAATCAAAAGCAGGCTCGATGAAGCTGAGGATCGAATCAGCGAGCTGGAGGACAAGGTAGAAAAAAGCCCCCAGAAAGAGCAAGAAAAGGAAAAAAACTCAAAAAGAATGAAGAGGCATTGAGGGAAATGCAGGACAACCTGAAATGTCATAATATCTGTATAATAGGGATACCAGAAGAAGACAATGAGGAAGGGATAGAAAACCTATTTGAAAGAGTAAGGATTGAAAACTTCCCTAATTGGAGGAGAGAAAAAATCACACAAGTCCAGGAGGCACAGAGGGCCCCATTCAAGAGGAACCCAATGAGGCCCACTCTAAGACACATCATCATTAAAATGGCAAATATCAAAGACAAACAGAGAATCTTAAAGATAGCAGGGAGAAATAGATAGTAACATATAAGGGAGCCCTGATATGGCTAGTGGCTGACTTCGCAACAGAAACACTGCAAGCCGGAAAAGAATGGCAAGAAATATCCCCAGTAATGAAAAGCAAAGGC